AGAATGTGAAAAAAAAATCCATGAATCCACATGGTAGGATTTGTAAAGAATTTATTCGTAAATAAGGGTGGAAAATAAGTATTTGGTCACCTCAAACAAGTCATTCTCCTTATCAGCTGGAAACATTAAAGCCGTAAAATGACTTTTTCGAACGGATAAAAACTATTGAACAACAGCAATGTTGAGCCTGTTCCAGAATTTGAATGTACATGCGTTGAAGGTCTTGTTGAATTATTAAACATACTTTCTTTAATTTTTCGAGCCACAAAAACAACAACTTTTAATTTCTTCTGCTTGAGTCTCGGCCTCGGGTAGCTCTACTTATCATTGCTCAGTCTGTTGTCTGTTTGTGCTGCTTTTGTCAAGGAGCAGCGTATTATTGGTAAGGGTGCCTTTATGTGTTTAGTTACTTAGTGGAAGTACTGTGGATAGTTTTACCTTACATACATAGATCTACCAGTACAGCTTCTGAGGTAACTGTTTACAAAATGTCATAATCTATCTACAAATTCTTTGCAATTTTACATTGATAAACATTATCCTTAACACATTTGGCCCACATAAAGTGCTATGGCCATCACACTGTCATTTAGAATTGTTTAAATAACTCGTGTCTTAAGTCCTTCCATCAAACAGAAATTAAAAAAGCTGCGTGGTTCACTTTTACATCACAAAATGTTAGAAATATAAGTCGTTCATAACAACCTGAAAGGCTGGGAGTTTAAAATGCAAACCGATGGAAGCAGCAGTAGAAGACTATAATGTCACAGAGCACACGGTGTCTATTATTGTGTAGACATTTATAAATAAGAGCTTAATAAAGACGCTTCATTTCTTAAGAAATAAACAGGTGGAGTGATCTTTTTTTTTCTTTTTTTTTGCCTGTCCCTTTTGGCTCTTTGGCATCAGAATTGTTGTCTAAAGGCAAAGAAAGATACCCAACGGATTTACTTTACCAAATTGACCATCCCAGCCTTGACGTAATGGTCCATTTGATTCACCTTTTATTGTTTATTTTCTTTTCTTTTACTGAATACGGGACAGACTTGACTGGGGGAAAGAGAAACAGCTGAGAAGAGGGACGGGGGAGAAGGGCAAAAGACAAAAACCAACAGAATAAGCAGAGAAAAAA